GCCAGTGCCCTCACTGGCTGGGCGCAGTGGGGGGGACCCCCCCCCAAGGGTTGCGATCCCCTTACCAGTCAAAAAAAAAAAAAAAAAAAAAAAAGAAAAGAAAACAGGAGCATCCCAGAACAATTTCCACATGTAAACAAAACCCTCTCTCTCCCCCTCCAAAAACACAAGGCACTTACGAGGAAAGTTGTACTTAAAGCAGGTCTGTGCTGCAATCATCCATTCGGCCCTGGTTTCACAGAAAATGGCAATGGTGTTCTTTGGTTTTAGTCCCAATGCGGTGAGTCCATTACCAAAGTTATTCACTCTGCAGTTCACTTCGAAATAGGTCATCCATTTATAATTCCCAAGAATTAACTGTTAAAGTGAGACATTCTCTAATATTAGTATACCCATTCAAACAAGCAATTAAAATACTATTCAAAGTACAGAACTCTAAAAATGTCTTTAAGGAAATATACAGAAGCCGTGAACACCTTCTGAGAATTAGTAACACAGCACTGTAATGGAATGCCAGCGTATTTAAAATACACGCAATATACAATAAAGCAAAATGTACCTTCCTCTTTTTAAAAAATAAAAAGCACAAAAATGCTTTACCTTCTTAAAAACCTTTCCATTTGGCTGCATTTCATTTTCTTCACTTAGGATTTCCCTGGTTCCAAGGCTGTCCTTCTTCCCAAACTTGGATACAGCATGGTCAAACAATTTATCCAGAGTGTCTGCTCCGGGGATGTCTATGACAGCTAGTGAGTTGAAGTGTGTGACAGAGCGATACGGACTTCCAGGTTTGGCTGAAGTGGGCTTAGCTTTTATTCTCTTTGCCATAGCGTTTTTCTTCTTGGCATTGGTAAGAAAATACCATGGAATAAATATAAGGGCACTGTATATTGTTATTAACAAGTGGACAGGCAGCAAAATAATGGTGAGCACATTTAGCTTAAGTTTCATAGTTGAAAGGCTTCTAAAATGGTGCTTATTTCTTGTTATTCTTTGGCTTCTGAAAGCCTTACTTTGCTGAAGAAGGCAATAATGGAAGCAGCAGTTAAGAGTAGCAGTATAGCCAAGGCAGCTCAGTTTTAGTGGTATAGATAAAAGTTAGTAATCTTTGGAAGCTGACAATAAAGTACACCTGTAAGTGAAAACAATGAACCAGGCAGAGAGCAGGAAAAAAAACAAAATAAAAGAGTATTAACAAGTTGATAGCACAATTGATTTAAATACTCAGGTCTTTATTAGTTTATATAATTGATTTGATACAGAAAGCTGAAATAACTGGTCTGAAAGACTGGCATTTTTCCATTTTTAATCAGCATTGACATAAATGTTCTTTCATGTAGCAACCTCTGAATTTAATTTTTTCTTGGTTTTTAGGTATATTTTGCACATCATTCTGTAAGTCAGTGAACAACACTATTTTAATGTTACATGAATGCATGAACATAATATTTAAGTTTGGCCAAACTCTGGAAAAGTGGGGTATGCCAATAATGAGGTTTCTCTTAAATATGTGTATGGAAACCAGACAGCTTTAAATAGGATTGAGTTTTGCATCCAAAAGAAGGGAAAAACCACCAATATAGGTTTATTTCTCAAAGATCAATTCAGAAATATTATTCTGAGCTCTTCATTAAGGTAAATTTCTGAGGAATGGAAAGAATACAATTATGAAATCATTTCCTGTCAATTTTGAGTACCAGTTACCTAGGAGGCCTAAGATAAGTCTGAAGTAGTATTAAGTCCTGCCCTTGCCTATTACAAGTTAACACCTATGAGGCTATTAGCACACAAGACAGAGCCAGAGTTTTTCAAACTTTTTGGGGGGATGGGTGCGGGGGGTGCGGCTAAGCCATTTCTTCAAATAAAAATTCATGCAGTCTGCTCATATATAACACTAAAGTGGAGCTGCTCTGGCTGAAGCAGGGATTAGCAATGTCCCGAGTCCTACCCCGGACTTCCTGGAACCCTACTTCCAAAGTGACCACTGAGGCATTTCCACTGAAGAGCACAGAGGTAATACATAACTAAGTGCTACAGTGTGGAGTACAGAGGAAGTGCAAGCTGGCCAGGGGTAATTAGGAAAGGCTTTGTAGAGATTAGATTTAAGCCAGACCCTATGGCGGGCATCTGGAAATGGAGGAAGAACAGAGGGCATTCCAGGCTGGAGAACCACATGAAGAAAGATGCAGTGGGAATGAAAGGATTTTGTTAAAACAGGCAGTAACAATAACACGGACACTAGCCTTACTGGGGCAGATGGCACATGTTGGCTAACTAGGATACGGTAGTCCAGGATCTGACAAGTCATGCAAAGTTATTTTGATTTGATTAGACAGAAAACTGGGGGCCACTTCAGGTCAGAAAAACAGTGCCACTGGAAAGGAACCGCACAAACAGCCCCAGGGATAATATCTCTCAGGGAGTCTGCCTTCAGCTCAGAAAGCTATTTTGGTGTGTGGCAGCATATTTCAACCATAAAAATTAAAATATTAGTTCACTCCAGAGAGACCAAGTGAAGCCCACCCTTCTGCATCCCTCATGGAAACAGACTGACGGACTTAATTCAACTGACCCCAGGCTAGTTGTTTGTTTTTATATCAATTTCTACAAAATGGTAGCTTAATCCTGCCTTTGCCTTTCTTCATGTCCTTCAGCTGAGTGCGGTGAAATGAGCAAGAAACTAGAAGTCACTGGGTTTCAGTCCTCACCTCTGCCACTAGCTGGCTGTGTGACCTTAAGCAAACCATCTGTCTGAGTCTGGCATCAGACTGTGTCAGTGGGCCAGTCTTAAAAGTGATGAACCCCTTGAGAATCCAATGAGAACTGTAAACCCAATTCCCCTCAAAAAGATATGCATGTCGTGTATACAACTTCAGGGAATTTGTGAGTTCCCTAAATCCATCCACGAACCCCAAAGGGTGATACCAACCCTGAACTAAGAATTTCTGGCCTAGACAATTTCCTAGGGCCCTTCCAACTTTAAATTCCATGATTTACCCTACCTACAAATTGCTTTCTCGGTCTCTCTGACAAGTCTGGTCATTCACTTCCTCAACATATGGTATGCCAAGTGTCTACCATAGCACCCAGTCCTCAATATGCAAGATCCCCCTTAACAATCTTCTCCTCCATCAGCGATTTCATAACTACCCGAGTCCACAATAATCTTTCCTTTTTCTAATTTCCTACATTACTAGCAAATATCATTCTGATACTTGCCTATATTACCATCATTCCCAAACATCTGGTCAACCTAAGTACAGAGCACAGATCCGTGGTTCCCAACCCTCTCAAACCCAACACCTCTTTCTTATAACAAATAGTTTATAAAACCCCTTTATAAACCTTAAAGGATAGTCACAGACGATAATCTACCTACACATATAATTTTTTTTAAATGATTTCTTACTAGTAATATAAAGGAGTACCGTAAGGAAACCGATTAGAAATTTTTTAAAAATTACTTATTTCAATATATAAATTCTCAGGGACAATATTAGAAGACAAAAAAGCATGTCTTCAAATTTATAAAAGGCCTCTAAGGGGTGAGTACCACCCAACCTTCAACTGAGAAATGGTCAGACTTGGGCTGAAGATACAGCTTTTGAAAAGCTTATAACAAATAAAGCATAGTTAGATTTAAACTGCATCATATGGGGTTTTTTTTAGTTATTCATGACGTTATATACATTTAATCTTCCATACAGATTTGCCTTAATTCTTGGAGGAAGGGAAATGCCTTCTACATGATCCTCATAATGTTTAGTACAGAGACATACGCATAAACACGAAGAAAGACACACACACACACATACACACACACACACACAGCAGGCAAGGATCAAAGAACATTCAGGTGAGGAGAGACCAGAAAGATCATTTAGTCCCGGTTTTCATATTCATTTTGGTGGTGGTGAGGGTGACATGGGTCATCCATTTGAATAAAATCTTCCATGGATATGAAAACACAAGTATAAATGAAAGCAAAAAGCAGGGTTGCTCTGGTACAGGAGGCTGTATAACAACAGCCCCTGAAGGGACTCCTTAGGACCTGCAGGTCAGCTGAATATCTGAACCAGTGACACTGATCCCTCATCTTGCAAAGAAGCAAAGAAGCCACAGAGGACAAATTGAGCACCAGTGCCCTTTTAAGCACACCAGCCAGCCTCTGCCTCATTTTGCCTATTATCTTAATATCCTTTCTTGTTAAAGGTTTTCTGGGGTTACACTCAGTCTATTGATTAACTCATTTCAAAAAAGATTTGAACACCTCATCTCACTTCAAAAAAAGAGTTGGTGTGTAAGGTTATGGTATCGAGCACTTAATACAAAGATGAGTAAAACATGCCTTCAGCCCTTTGTATGCTGTACATATGTGTTCATATGCATGGTAGGGAGCAGAGAGAACAACTCACAAATAATCATAAGGTAGACCATGATAAGTCCCATAAGAGAAGCAAGAATACAATGCTAAGGGTATTCACAAGAGGGGGGAAATTGCATCCAGCTGGGAGAGAAAAAGAGCTAAGGGAGAAAGTACAACAATCAAGAAAGGTTTCACAAAATCACTGTATTTGGGATAGGAGTGAAGGATGGGTAGGTTTTCAAAAGGAGGGGACAAAGATTGGGAAATGAAGATGGTCCTACCAGAGAGAACAAACATATGAGTGAAAGGATGGGGGCAGAACAGTGCAGGATGTATCTGAAAAACAGCAAATAGTGTAGCAAACACTTTAATGCTTTCTGCGTAAACTTCTGCGCCACTTTTATGATCTCATTTCATGGGAAAATAGAATTATTTCATAGTCAACTTTACTAGAATGCAGCTAGACCATAAAAGACACATGCGTATGATGATTTGGCAACTCAAGTTTAAACACCCTGCTATTGTATGTAAAAGAAAATGAACTGTTGTCTAAAGAAGAGAAAGTCTGACGTCCTGGACAGTAAATGTGCTAAACTAGATTAGATCTGGGTTCTAACCTTAGTGTCTGCTGTTAAGTGTGACTCTGAACAACTTATATGATCTCTCATATAAAAGTTCTGTATCAGTGGCTTCATCTGCAAAACAGGAATACTGCTTGTACTCCCTACTTCTAAGTATTTGGAGAATCCTTTGTCTTCTCCCTCACTTAAATTCCCTGGGCAATCATAATCATGCCCTGACATACATTCTCAGCTCTCTTGCCACTCTTTCACTTTGTTATACTTGCTTGGCTAAATGACAACCTGGTTCAATACAATTCTCCACCTAATCTGCACTTGGATCTGCGTGGCTGAATCTGACCAGAGAAACACAAGACTGTGCTGAATGTCTCACTTTAAATCAGTGATTGTTCCCTCCACTGGGCTCTCAGTGCTGCTCAGAGACCACACTGCACTGGTCTATCCACTGACCCACTCTTCTGGGTGTCGTACCTTATTCCCTCTCCTCAGACCACTGGCGTTCCTCCTCCATCCTTAGTCTCAGTTGCTGACCTGGCTTACTATTTTGCAGAGAAAACGAAAACTGCCCGCAAGGAATTTCCACAGACTCCCATCACTCTATCTACCCACCTACCACATCTGTGGCCATGTGCTCTTTTCTCTCCTGTGCCATGGATGGACTGTTGATGTTCCTGACCAAGGCCAACCCCTTCACTGCACACTGCCCCCTTGTCTACAGTGCTGCTGCTCTACCAATTCTTACCCTCCTCTCCTGCCTGAGTAATTTTTCCTGCTCTACTGAATCATTCCCATCGTACCAAAACAGGCTATTATTTCTTTCATCTTAAAAAAAAATTCTCTTTTGAACCTTCTTCTCAGCTACAGCTCATTTCTTCTCCTTCTCTTTAGTACTCCTTGAAAGAGTTGTCTATGCTCTGTCTCCCAGTTCTCTCCTCCTATTTTCTCTTGAAGCCATTACACTCAGGCTTTTGTTCCCTACCACTCCCCCGAATTGCTTTGATCAAGGTCACCAATGACTTCCATATTGCCAGATCCTAAGGTCAATTAAAGCTCAGTCTTCATCTTCCTTGAGCACTGGCAGCTTTTAACACAGTTGACCCCTCTTCTCCTGCTTCAAACTTCTTCACTTGGCTTTCAGAAGACCACATTCTTCAGGTTTTCTTCCTCCTCTAGCCAGTCCTTTTC